ACTATAAAAGACTTTGTCTAGTCATATGATATTTGTTCAAGATCAAAAACTCCTTATAATCGACCATACGGATTTTTCCAACCATTGCCAATACTCAAACAACCATAGTCTTTTATTTCTATGGATTTTATTACAAATCTTTCAAGTTTAAGTTCATATGACTCTATATTTGTAATTAAATATTGGTTCACCAAAATGGCACATTTTGTACCATGTATAAAATGTATCATAAGTGAAGAAACAACTAAGCTTTTCATTGACAATATCTATCGCCATCATGGATTGCCAAAGGATTTTATATTAGATAAGAAGACTCAATTTATATGCAAATTTTGGAAAATCCTGTTCAAGTTTCTAAATATGGATATAGAGAGAGATTTACATGTCAACACCTTTCTAGTCCTTAGTCTTATTTCAAGACTTTCTAGTCTTCTTATTTTTGACAATAGCCATTCTATTTCAATATTATGTCATCTATGAGTAACCTTCTAGCTCCTTTCAGTGATATATGAATATATTAAAGATTTTCTTTCCTCAAGATTTATGTCCTTGACAACAAGTAAAAGAATAATATTATAACATACATGAAATTTTTGAAGAAATGGGCTCTAAGTGAAAAATCAAAATAAAATATAGTATAAGATGTGAATTTATTTTCTAGAAAACATGAAAAGATTTGTGTATCCATGTAGTTAAATATAGTCTCATAGTTTTGATATTTGTTTCTTTTAATCATTCCTTTTATTATGCTTGTTATAATATTATAAGAAGGTCGTATAATAGTTTATCTTTAAAATATTTTGGGCACAAACATGTTTCAAATGAATTGATGTTAGATATTAACACTATTATGCTAAGAAAAAATTATAGTTTTTAAAGTATTTGTGACTTCTTCTAAAAATATTTGCATTAATTACACTCAACATTCATTTTGGAATTTTTTCTTTTCTTGTTTGGAATGCCTTTTTTTTTTATTGTTCAATAAATCAAGCATTTTTTAGATTTTTATTTATTTATAATAGAATATGAGACTCCTTGCTAAGATAACTATTGTAGAAAGATAGTTGTAGATTCATTTAATTCTCAACATGGCCTTTGTACAACTAGATTGTGCCTTGTATCATTTGTTTAATTGAGACATTTTTTATGTATTGTTGATATTTATTTTTTCTTCTTTGCGGATAATATTGCATGCAAAGCATATTGACTATAAATTATTTATTGGCTATTTATTTTAAGTAATATTATATATAGCTTAGAATGAGATTCTATAAATATTTTTATTTTTTATTGATTTTTTTTTGGTTCTTGTTTCTTATAAAGTGTTTTCATGCATTTTCTTGATAGTTAATTGTAAATAACAACTTATTTAACAATCATAGATTCGATGCAATTGAATTGGTGTTTTATATGTGAGCATTTTTTGAAATTATTTATAAATTAGATGAAGTTAAGATGTTATAGATCTATTTTCAAAGTTGATATTGGTTTTTTTTTGGATTAAAATGGTCATTAATTAAGATATATTTAACATGCTTTTGGTGCAATAAAGATTAGTGTAACTATAGAAGACTAAGATTCAACTCCTATCAACTCTTTTCACAACCATTCTTTCTACTATTATCTATCAACAAAAATCAAAATTATTTGATTCATTAGTACTATAAATTGAAATCTAATTTAAATTAGATTGGTAAAATAGTATATCAAGTTTTAATTATATCCAAATAAAATTTATAAATTACTATTATAAATTTAATTATATTTGCAATCTACTTAAAAGTAATTATAAATAAAAAGTAATTCAAGTGAGACAAGTGTGTATATTATATCTAAGTCTTTTCCAATTTCGGTGCATGCATATATTTTTTATTCCTTTATAGTTTCAAATTACAAAGAAGAATGTTAAATAGATGCTTTTATATATGTACCGAATTATTTCAAATAATTTATTGCTATATACAATATATCCTTTAGATAATTGATTGTTGGATTTTTTAACCTTATAGTCATTGAAGAAAGCTCCAAAAGATGTCACAAATTTTTTCTTATTAGTGAGGTGGTAGCACCTCAAATGTACAATAGATAATATTAAAAAAGAAAGACAAGATCTTTAAAAGAAGAAAATTGGTTTCAAATCAATGATGTTGCCATCAAAATCAGATTATTTACCAAATGATACCAATAATAAAAAATTTCAACCATCAAAATACCACCATAATGTAGTATACTTTAGATTTCATCTTAACATGAGAACCTCTATGTATTTGTCAACATGTATATATAAGAAAAATTATTAACAACTAGTAGAAATTATGTACATTTGAATTAATTCAACATGAGGTTTAGAGCACATATAGACACATATTTCACAATATTTGTGAAAAAACAAATATTATGTTGATGACATATACAAATTTGTTTTGAATTCTATTGTTCTCTGATTTGTCTTATTGTATTTTCAAAAAAAGAAAGAAACAAATTGGTATTTCTCAAAGATCTCTAATACATACTTTTATATACAACTTCAATACCAAATGTTAATCCTTAACTTATCACATAATTATTCTTCCAAAATAAAGATTGATATTTATCCAAATTTAAACAAAACATGTCTTATGTTGTAATCCATATATTTTGTACATATTCGATAGCCACATGGGCAATTTTAGAAGTATATTTGGTGCAAAGACTAGACCATTTTATATCGTAAAGTTTCTTTGAAGTAGTACTCATCACATTGGTTCAATGTGCAAGGAAGAATATCCAACTTGATTCTAATTTGATTGCAAAACATTTCTTATAATTGGCTGATATATATATATATATATATATATATGTATATGCCAAATGTAATATAAGACAATTGAGGTAAGAAAGATAATTTCAATGGCATTTATTAATACAAAATTCCACTCAACATTAATATTGATAGCTCAAATATTTTCATATAATTGAATTAATTGGATTAATTTCTACCAAAAGAAGGGCTCCATTTTTTCTTGGAAAAAAAAATTATAATAATAAAAGAAATTATAAAACTTGTAATTCCTATAATATGCAATATGAGAATTCTAAACCAATTTTTTTTATATGTATAATTCATAATAATGGAAAATAAATATCTATTTATAAATTCAATCCATTTGGATTATGCAAAATAAATAAAAAAATAAAAAACTTTCTTGCCTTCTTTGTATTGATACATAAATTGATAATTAACATTATAAAATGTTTTTATAAGATAAATAATGAAAAAAAAACTATTAAGGCATTATGACATACTTGTTGATGTTGATTGCTAATAATAAAAGAAATTACACAACTTTTAGAATCTTCTTTACATATTACAATCACTTTATTTTTTGGCAATATTCTTATGGTAAGTATCTGGATTATTATTCTTTTTTCTGATAGTTAAAGTTGTAGAGCAATGGAATGACCTATAATTAATACTAAAGATCTATAATTTTTGTATTGTCAAATGCCATTATATACAACCTTGCAAATAACTTGCATACAACTAAAACAGGCACCTAGTTAATTAGCTTGTTATATTTTATTAACAAATAATTTTTTTTTTGCCTTCTATAAATTTGCTCTCTTTCACATTTGAAAATTGTGTAATGCTTGTCATTTGCAAATTGTATATCTTTGAGCATATGCAAACCTATCTATACTTTTTTTTATGTTTACAAAAGATTCAAAAGATCTCTTTGGTTGATGAGACATGTATAGCATTTTTTATTTTTTTCAAAATGTAAATAACCTTAGAATAGATAGTTTTCTCTCTCCTTCTTTAAACACTAGATACAATATCATTTTTTTATTTTTTAGTCCACAATGTAGGGTGAAAAAAAAAGAAAATTGAGTGTACAAGAATTTATAGTCATGACAAGGGAGGGCAAAGGAAAGGAACCATTTCTTGTAGCCGTTGATTATTAATTATTGTAACTGGTGAAATCTTTGTAATTGTATAAATTCAATTTTAAAAAAAACATGATTCTATCAATCTAAATGCAAACAGTAGTTATGATGATGAAGATGAGTTCAAAAATTTATGTACTAATTTGTGATGATGGATAGGTTGATTTAATAAAAGCATAAGTTGATTAAATATTCTCCTAAGTATTGAAGTGAGAATAATTACAAAATCATTTGTCATAATAAAATTAAATGGTTGAAGAAGGAATTTTGGTAGACATAGATACTCATATTTATTTACAATTGTAACATCAATCATGGATTTTTTATTTAAATTTTATTATATAATATTTTTTTGCTACATTGACAATAAGAATAGACATCTGTTAATTAAAATAAACACAATATAAATTGCAACTGTTTCTTTCGTATTAATATACAATCATACATAATACATACTTATAGAATTTTTTCAATGACATACCACATTTTTTGAAAGATATATAGAGTGTTGATTTTTATATTCTTTAATATTACAAAATAGTGTTATATTTACTATTAATGAACAAAGTAAAATTTAAATTGAATTAGCTTCTACAAAAGCAGGAACACAATTACAAATGCGGTTATACAAGTGTTAATATACGATGCCATATGGACAACATTTTGATGCTATATTAGAAATCCCAGAGCACTTCTTTTTTCTCACATACCTAAGGTTTTGTATGTTAATGGAAGAGCGGGGAGGTGGATGGAGAACGGATGCGGATTACGGATGAAAAACGAATGTAAAGGAAGGAGATGGATGGATGTGGGATGGACAGGGATGCATAATAAGGAAGAGCGGATGCTTATTGAGGAAGTGAGATGAATGTGGATGAAGGGGCGTAGATGAAGGATGGATGTGGATGAAGGCAAGGAGTGGATGAAAACTCTTCGAAACTGCGGGGGCCCAGCTCTTGGAACTCCGGCGAAGTGATCCTTGAGTATTAAACAGTAGTCAACTCTACTGACTGATTTGCAACCTGTGCTACTTTAATCCTCGCGTCACTTCACATACTGAGGTCTGAAGAGTTGCAATCCAATGGGACATCTAACCTTTCCTTTGCGGCTCTTTGCCATTAAATTGGACTAAACTAAGTTTCCGGTTTAATGTTTCAGGTTTCAACCTCTTCTTGGTCTTAAGGATTCAAGTACGCTTTGATGCGCGTCCCATCTTTGCGTATGGCTGTCAGGGTCATTCCAGGTTATCGGCGATTTTTAGTTGTGTATGACCACAAGCTTCCATCACGGGACCCTTCAATCGGCTTCAAATCACCACTCAGGCTAAGCCATGAGCTCTGTGGTGTTTACATATATTCTCTCTGTTGAATTTTGCATCAATTCTCTCATTACCACTGCGCCATCTCTGAACGCTTCTAGAGAAATTTTAGTTCCCTCGTGAACGCTCTTGCTCGGTTGTGGTTGCGACGTCGCACGTTAATTTTGCAGCTGTCTCATCTTTCTGCTTTAAGACCCACCGCAATGATATCTTTGTAGTCCAGAAATTGATCTTTTTTCTTCGAAATTACATCAACCAACACATGAAACACATGCGTTGTGCTTGAATGTGACTGTGCAAGGCGTTATTTGACCCTGCAACATAAAAGCGATTATAAAATAGCTGAGCGGGTCCAGTTTCATGGGATTCACCTCTCTGACATAGGAATCACCAGCTACAGGTATGACCGTGCCGAATATTGGGCTCTGATCCAAGTTCATGGTGCCGTGCTTTCTACGAGGAATCCCAATATATTTGCCTGGTCATACCACCCACTTCGTTGTGGATTGGGGTTGGTGTTCTCTTCCCTGTCAGCGATTATGTTTGTCTAAATAGGAATGCCAATCACGATTCTTCCGAAGAGTTTTCCACTTCAATATTCTGAGAACCCCTCTATCAGGCTCTGTTGCTTGCTCGTGTTCATAGATCGTGGCACCATCACTAATCCTCAATATCCTCAAACCATAAAGCAACAGCTTCATGTTAGCCGTTCACTTAGAACTGAACCAACGCACGAGTCGAAGAGGTTTGGTATCACATCACTGACAAATCCTAACAGCGGCTTCTGTACACACATTGAGGGGACATGGAAGATCGATACTTCCCGAACACATTGAGCGATTACGTCGCCCCGTTGCTAGGCGGCAACGGGAACCCACACTCGCAATGCGAACCAGGCAGAACTCCAGAAGGATCCTTCTCTGAGCCCAGTGTTGTGCTCAAGGCTGCCATTGCCTTGAGAGATGAGGTACGCTCCTTCCTACTTCAATTTCATCGACATATATTTCTTCGCCTCGGCTTGCTTGTCCATGATTTACTATACAGTAGCCTTTGACAGCGTCTTTTGAAGCGCATTTCTTAACCTCCAACAGTTGCACTCTAATTGAGACCAAAATTCGATGGTATTGTGCTCGCTCGGCTCTAAGAAGACGGGATTGCATTACTCCAGGTTCTTGAGGCGACGTGGATTCGACATGGGCCACGAGTTTCAGACCCAACCATGTACGTAGGTATGCTTGGAACAGCGTTTTTGTGCTTCAAGGTACACCAAACCACTGGGAGCATAGAAGACCTTGACATATGCTGCAACATCGTCGATAGCTGTGCGGTTGCGGCAGAATCCATGAAACAGTATGGGTTTCGCTAACATGCCGTCAAGATTGCGCGGGCCCGTTGAATTTTTGTTTTGTAGAAACTCTTTTTTCATACCAGTAATTAGGATTTCGTCTCTTGATGACCTCCAAATTGACAGAGGAGCAGCTGCAGCAAGCAGTCTTGTTACCACAATATTCGGTGTGATCTGTTTAGATTAGGGTACAGAATGAGTTCCGTTTTGATTGTGTGGGGTAGCTTGGACCTTTCTTTGTGTTGGAGATTCTAATTCTCCTGATGGTATAATGAAACAGGTACGTTACATTTTTATGCGGACAATCTGGCATTTATGCTCTGGGGGCAGCAGCTGCCAAATGCAAAGGAGATCAGAAACGGCTTGATTGGTATCTTAGCCTTTTCAATGCGGTACATATTTTTTGACACACAGGTTTGAATATTCAGAAGTTCGCAGCAAACTCTATAGCCGTGTTGCTTGTGATCACCTTGTGATCTCGAAGGTTTTAGAGTATAAGCTCTGATGGGTCTTTCATTATGTGGCCGCAGAACTTTCATCGGCCTTGTGCAGCAGAGTGTAATATCTGGACACTTCGTCATTTTGCAGATTGCGGAACAGAGTGTTCTTGCAGTGGGGCCGGCAGAGGGTGGGCTGGGCATGCCCTATGAGCTCATGTATGGACGAGCTGGGTTTCTCTGGGCTGCACTTTTCGTGAACAAATATGTTGGGGAAGAAACCATCCCCTGGAGTGTTACAGTTAGTCTCCAACTCGCTTTTCTCTGCGCCACTCTTATTCCTCCTGTAAAGAATGCAATGAGGAAATGTATGCAAGCTTCGTCGGCTAGAATGAGGTCATCACAGCATTGCTATTAGTTCTCAGTTTCAGTGGCCCCATGCATCACACAACCATAGGAAGACTAAGTCTCACAGGAGCTTTGACATCCACGTTCAGGGCCCAGTGGTGGACGCGGTGATGGCGGCAGGAAGAGCTGGAGCGTCACACACACAGTGTCCTCTGATGTATCAGTGGCAAGGCACTCGGTACTGGGGAGCTGCGCATGGTTTGGCTGGAATCATGCACGTTCTGATGCACTTCCCACTCAACCACGAGGACATGAAGGATGTGAAAGGAACTCTTCGTTATATGATCAAGGGTCGGTTTTCTAGCGGCAACTACCCATCAAGTGAAGGCAGCACAAGAGATAGACTGGTTCATTGGTGCTACGGAGCTCCGGGGATGGCACTAACTCTTTGCAAAGCCGCTCAGGTACGATACTCATCTTCCTTTTTGCCCAATTCTAAGGTGGGTTGTGTTGCATAAGTTGCACTAACATTTCCATCAACAAGGGGGGGTTTAAAAGACAATCCTTGGTCATGCCTGCAGGTTTATCCCGAGTGTAAGGATTTCAAGCTAGCTGCAATAGAAGCAGGTGAGGTGGTGTGGAAGCGAGGTTTGTTGCGACGGCTAGGACTATGCCATGGTATTAGTGGTAACGCCTACGTGTTTTTGGCTTTGTATCGATTGTGTGGAGAGAAGAAACATCTATTCCGAGCTCACCAATTTGGCAAATTCCTGCACAAGAATGCAAAGCAATTGATCAGGAATGGGGAGATGCATGGCGGTGACCATGGATACTCTTTGTATGAAGGGTGGGCAGGGACTGCTTGCCTATGGTTGGACTTGGCCGGAGCTGATGCTTCCCGGTTTCCTGGTTATGAGTTTTGACTAGCGACTAGGGTTTTGTGTACATTTGCATGTATGAATGTGTATATGAATCATATGCTCTTCAAGGCGATAGTTACAGGTTAGAGAAATTCATAGTTGTAGTGAAGAGTTTTTTTTTTTTTTTTTTTTTTTTTTTTTTTTTAAATGCAAAAGAGATTGAGTATGTTTCTTAACACATCAAACTTATTATTTATTTTTATTTTATTTGTTACTCTTCATAAAGTTGTAAATCGCAGATTTGGTGAATTTTGTGATGGGATTTTAAAATTCAATATTATTAGGAATAATGGGATGGCATGGCTCAACTTAATTTACAGGAAATGATTGGTGTGTAAGTTGGTTATCTTAAATAATGTATATATATATACAAGTATTTTTCCTCCTAAAATTATGATATATTAAACTATCTATCTAAACAAGATATTGGTTCAATGCAAAAAATTGATCTAATATCTAAATAAAGAATCCAAGTACAAGAAATAGAAATAAAATAATTAAAATTTCTACATATATATATAATTTAATAAATATATTTAGATATATTCAAATATTAATAAAAAAGTTGTGAATCTATTGTTAGTATACTCAGCCAATTTAATATTCTTTCAAAGTAAAATCTATCATTATAATTAATATTAATAATAACTTATTATATCTAGTAATATTTATTTTTAAATATTTTAATATTATCATATAGCATTTATATTAATTTAAAATATTTTTATAATACTACTCAAATATTATTTAATTACTAAAAGAATCTAATATTGCATAGTTTGAATAAATCTATTACAACTTAAAATCAATAATTCTTTAATTAATATTTATATTATCTTAGTAGTATTAATTTTTTATAAATTGCTAAGTTAGATAACCAAAACTTTGAGATTTATTGATTGTATTGAATACATGTTGATTAGGATAAAAAATAACTATATAATTTAAATTGTAATGTGATTAAATAAAACCATAAAGGCAATTTCTAATGCTCCTTAACTAGTAATTAGATAGTTGTTAATCAAAACAATAACTAAATTTTAATGGCTATATTAAAGACATGATCCTAAAAAAAATTGAAAAATAATACCCTCATATATCATTGAAGAAGGCAGAAATTAAGGAAAATAAAGATTTATATAAGACAAAAAAATAACTAAAATAGTTGTTGCCAAATACAAAGAAGCTTGGGAGTCATGAAGTAAGATTAAAATGTAAAAAATGCATTGATAAGATTGAAGATGACCTCACTTTGGTCTCTATATATACTAGCTTCTTAAAAAGCATTATGGAAGCTTTCTAAGAACTACGAGATTTTTGGTCCAAGCATCAAGTTGTATGTTGCTTGTAATGCAAGTTTTTAAAGATTATAAATATAAATGCCAAGTTTTAATAGCTATGTTGCATATCTATAGAAATCTAAAGATGTAATCTACATCTACAAAATATTTTTAAAGGTTTTTAAGGAAGATATAATCTACTTAATATGTTTTGTATATTTCTACATATTACTATTTACTTCTATTTTGTAATTATTTTTTAAGCAATATATATATATATATATATATATATATATATATATATTATAGTAGATTATTTTTTCTAATTTATTATATTTTACAAAGCAATATTATTGAATGAATTTTATTGGTTTTATAGATCATAAATGATATTTTTCTTGTTACTAAAACTTTCTAATAGTTGGTCATATAATATTCATTTTAATTTTAATTTTTTTTATTTTGATGCATTTAAACAAGTTATTTAGTAGATATAGTTGAATTTTGTGATAGCATAATACATAAAGATAAATTCTCTAAATCCTATTCAATTTCAATAAAATGACTATATTTTTACATCTTATTTTAAAATAATCTACTAAAATTGAATATTTTGCATTAAAAAAACAACTTCACATTCTTTGGTATTTTTGGAATAGAGTTTTTTTATTTTTTTATTTTTTTTTTATTTTTTTTAATAAAAAGAACTACTGCATAATGCTATATTAATTATGATATGTTATTATATATATATATATATATATATATATATTTTGGTGTTTGTAAAACGAAAAAGAGAAAAATACATATTTTACAACGAAGTTTCGATACAAATACACATGAATACATGGCCTTGTGGCTAGTCAAGCAGTTGAAAATCCACGAATCATGCATGAGACCAATGAACCCAGAAGACAAGCCTGGAGGGGGGTTCCAATGGCATGGGCACGCAGGGGAGCGCCCTCCTACCGGGGTCCCAATGCAACCAGGGGGCACCTTATCCGCAGCTGTCCACCACAGACCCAACCTGCGGCTGTCCCCGACCCATCCCACGAAGTCATCTGTTCATCTATCCATCCCCACGGATGAATGAGCGAGGGGGAGCCGATTGGCAGCAGGGGGGGTGAGCACCGCAAGTTCATCACCCGGCCTCATCACCGTGCATTCATCCGCCCTGGCAGCCCAGTGGGGCGTCGTCGCGCAATCCTCTCAGCACACACGCTCCTCCCCTCGCCTCCTATCCATGCCACCAAGTTTTATAGTTGCCCAAGCGTCACGCATTTCGCCTACTCACTTCCAAGCGCAGCATTCTCTCTCGAGGAATTATCTCGGGACGACTCCCTTGTTAGTTTGTGTTCTGCCTCCTGTTCATCTCTCCAGGCTGCAATGGCTGCCGTCGGTATGACCATGTCGCTCAGGAGCAGCACCACCCTCAAGGGTGAATTCTGTGGCGCGGCTGTGAGGCAGAGCGTCGCCGCCCCCAAGGCTGCCAATGTGGCGTTCGCCGTGCGCGCTGGACAGTATGACGATGAGCTTGTTAAGACCGCGGTATGTGAACTTCTTTTGTTTTTTGTTTTTTGTTGGTCGATGAGTTAGTTTCTGGTTCGTTTGATCGCGTCTCGGAGGTGTTAGCGAGGTGAGTGTGGTGCGGGAGAGATGGGTCACGGGCATGGGGGAATGGAGGCTAGAAACATGTTGAGTAGGAGGAATCGTGATGGGTTCTTGGAGAATGGGAGAATTGGCTTTGACACGAATTGGGTTCGCGATGTAGAACACCATTGCCACCAAGGGTAAGGGTATCTTGGCCATGGACGAGTCCAATGCCACCTGCGGCAAGCGTCTGGAGTCGATCGGTTTGGAGAACACGGAAGCCAACCGTCAGGCGTACAGGCAATTGTTGGTGACCACCCCCGATCTTGGTGACTACATCTCTGGAGCCATCCTCTTCGAGGAGACCTTGTACCAGTCCACCACCGATGGCAGGACCATGGTTGACTGCTTGAACGCTAACGGAATTCTACCCGGTATTAAGGTCGACAAGGGTCTTGTACCTTTGACTGGATCCAACAATGAGTCCTGGTGCCAAGGTTTGGACGGATTGGCCTCAAGGACTGCTGCGTACTACAAGCAAGGTGCCCGATTCGCGAAGTGGTAAGCATTAGTCCCGATTCTCGCGGCCGCATTCTTACAGTGATGGGAAGGAAGTTTTAAAGGTACGCTCCTGACGTTTAATTGGTTTGTTTCTCAGGAGGACCGTAGTGAGCATTCCCAACGGACCTTCTGAGTTGGCCGTCACCGAAGCCGCCTGGGGGCTCGCCCGCTATGCATCCATCTGCCAGGACAATGGCTTATCACCAATTGTGGAACCCGAGATTCTTTTGGACGGTGAGCACGGTATTGACAGGACCCTGGAGGTTGCATCTAAGGTGTGGTCCAAGGTATTCTACTTCTTGGCCGAGAACAACGTGCTTTTCGAAGGTATCCTCCTGAAGCCCAGCATGGTCACCCCCGGTGCGGAATGCAAGGACAGGGCCACCCCCGAGCAGGTCGCTGAGTACACTTTGAACATGCTGAAGAGGCGTGTGCCACCAGCCGTCCCCGGAATCATGGTGAGATAAACATTTCCTGAACACTTCAATTCACAGCCTTGTCCATGACCCAGAACGCATAGAAACCGAAGCTGGATTTTCTTTCCCTCGCTGAATTCTCCTTTCATGTCTTTCAGTTCTTGTCTGGAGGACAATCCGAGGTTGAGGCCACCCTCAACTTGAACGCCATGAACCAGAGCCCCAACCCCTGGCATGTGTCTTTCTCCTACGCCCGTGCTCTCCAGAACTCCGTCTTGAAGACATGGAAGGGACAGCCGGAGAATGTCGAGGCTGCCCAGAAGGCTCTTCTCGTCCGCGCCAAGGCCAACTCCTTGGCTCAGTTGGGCAAGTACTCCGCCGAAGGCGAAGCCGAGGAGGCGAAGCAGGGAATGTTCGTCAAGGGCTACACCTACTAAGCAGTCCCAGACGAACCCACTCTGATTTTGTAGAATGCAGTTACAAGGCTAATGCGCCTGTTTGTAGATGAATGTAAGGATGTTAAAATTAACTACCAATTTGGTGTTTTCTTAAATCATCTGTCATATTTTCTTCGTACAGACGGGCGTCGAATCAGTGAATCTGTCGATCAGTAAGCAAAGTTCCATTCTCTTCAGAATCGTCTTGCTCTTCTCTTCCTAAAGACACTTGTTCCTGTTGGAAGTAAAATGCAAGCTATCTTTATTTTTTCACCTAAGATAAACCTTTGAACGCCTGAACGTCGATAACCTTGTGAACGTGCTGCAGGTGCATGTACAATGTTACACTTTAGTGTAGTGCAGTCGAATGCTATCAAACTGGAGAGCGTTTCTTACAATTTATTTGATCCGATTGAATAATGTCGCTTTTACTGTGAAGGCGTTTGTCAGGTTTCTGGATGATGAAAATAACTATGTTTTTCATTACTACTTCACTCCAGAACAATACAGTTTCTTGTGTCTGTTTCCGCTAGACTGAGCAATCGAAAATGTGCCGTACATGACAATTTTGCGAGCCTCTAATCTTTCCTGTTGAGAAAAATACCACATCAGTACATACTGAGTTTCATGTCTCGTATCATACCCTCCTAGCACTTTTATATTATCTTAAACTTAACTGCATTACGATTAGAAGTACCTTAGGATCACTGTTATCTGTCTGCTCTTATACATGAATCACTACCTGGAACAGATACTCGTTAACATAGAAACTCCATAGGAAAATGTGATGAACTCTTTTAACTGCATCCGATTTTTCTAAATTTATAATGAAAAATGCTCGAACATTGAGCAATGGATGAGAAACACTTTGTGCGGATGTGAGGTCGAGCTTCATGGGTTTCTGTTTGGAACTTCTGTTTTACTTGGAATAACTTGTGCTTTCAGTTTCATCATTCATGCCTTTTCTTTTGATTTTTCATATTATATTCAATTTTTATTATTTATTAAATACTTGTGAAAAATGAGGGATAGAAAAATTTGTAGACCTTGCACTTGAAATTTTAAAGGCTATAGACTTTCCTCTTGATTTTTATCTTGTCATTATCACATTAAATTCTATTACGGAACTTAGATTATTATTATTTATTATTTGATTGTTGTAAAATTTTATAAGTCCAGAAGACCTATTTCTCTTGTATTGGATATTGTGTTTTAATGTAATTTTCTCCAAGATAACTTCTCACTACAATGCCTCTCAATGTACCAAATTTCCCCATCAAGAATAGCAGTTCGTGTGTTCAATTTATGTGGAGGGTCTTCAAAATCAGAGTAGTGCTTCCAACTTGAGAGTGACACTTTGTTTTTTCCTGATTAAGAGGTGAAACAAAAGTTCACCATTTTTCTATTGTCTTTTGAAACCAAATTGTTGAGTTCCAAAAATGTGGTAAGAGTAATATTATCATAAAACGTAATTGACTTTCACTCTGGTGGTTATAGATTAGTTTATTTTCTCTCTCTCTCTCTCTCTCTCTATATATATATATATGTGTATATACATATAAACTAGAGAAATATAGATTACTTTAGTGGAGGTACCTTGTTTAATAAGTTTGACTCTATGAAAGTTATATTTCATGCAATCCCTTTATGTGAATTTTAAATCCTAAAATATCAGCAAAATATCCTTAAAATACTAATTAGGTTCTAAAAATATTTTGTTCTATTGGAGTTGCATTCAAGTGATGAAAAGTAGCAGTATTAAAAGCACAATTTAAAACTTTGAGAGTGATATCTATCAAGTTGGACAAAGTATCTTCTTATATTAAGGATGGTAAAAAAATAATAACAATCTAAACTTATAAGGTGTAAAAGTATTTTGGTTTAAAAATTACAGAATAAAAATATGCCAATGACAAAAAAAGGTTTTTATTTTGATTTTTATTTAAAAATGAATCATGTATATTGTTTATTGTTCACATATTTTATGTTTGAAACAATAATTTATACAACGTCTCTTATATAAAAATGATCTATTTTACATAGATAAGAGTTACCTCGCCATATAATTGAATATTAAAAATCATGGTTGATCAATAAAATAACTTAATATTTTAACTTTTTTATATTCTAATTTCTTGTAATTTTATTTTTAAAAATTTATTATATTTTATTTCATGCTATTTTTGTATTATTTTTATTTTTTAAAAATATTTATTCTAATTTTATTTTATATATTTAATTTCTTAATTTTATATATAAAATATAATTTTTTAAAATTCATCTTAATTTTATTTAAAGATCCCATGATGAAACTAGTATATTAGATGATTATCTTCTAATTTATAGTAGAATTAAGATTTATCTTATTGAATAATTTTTATTTTTATTTTTTATAGTTAATTTTTATTGATACTTTTGGTAATATAATATTTTGATTAAACTAAATAATGATTTTATTTTAGCTTTTTTATAATAGTTTACTTTAATTTTAGTCTAAATATATAGATGTTTTGTCAAGTAAATAATAAAATATCTAATTTTCTTCTCTTTTTATTAGAAATAAAATTTCTTATATTCTAATATTTTATTTTAATAAAAAAATATTATGATAAAGAAAGAGAAGTAAAAAAAATATCTTTTTTACACACAAATATATAGACTATAGTTGATTTTATTGCTAAAATTTAAAATTAATTTAATATTGTAAATAAATAACTATCATAAAATTTATATATATATATAACATGAATTAGTTTTTAAAATTTAAATATACATGTCTTTTATTTAAAATTTACATTGAATTTAGATTTTTCTATTAAAAATTATATTTATTTTAAATTCATTATATTATTTATTTATTTTTTATATGAATATTAAATTATATTATGCTAATTATTTAATTTAATTTTTAATTTCATAATTTATTATTTAAAAATTAGTATATTATAAAATTTTATCTTAAAACATGTAAGTTGACTTTAAAGTTAAAAGTAATTTTACAATTACATAAGAATAATTATATTATAGTCATTATTTTATAAGAATTTATTATATATTCTATTTATCTTATAAAATTTTATTTGATTGAATGTTTTCAATAGGAAGTTGAAAACTCAACTAATTTCTTATTATGTATTAAACGCTAATAGTTTAAACCTTTTAGGATCTATAGAATTAGTATTAAATATGGCATATCAACAGTAGTTACACCATATATTGTGTATGTTGCAACATCATCTTCTTATTTGGCACAAGAATCTAAGATCTCTATAGACTCCATTGTCATATAGTTTATTGCATGAAGAGCCTTAAGATTTCAAGAAGAAGCTTGAAGGAAGGGATGGATTTGAGAATTATATGTACAATTAAAAGAATACAATCTAAAACAAGAATATTGTGTTGATTTTACACATGGTGGACTAGAAAAAGATTACATAAAGAAACCAAAATTTCAAATGAATCTTAAAATTGACAATGAGAAAGTCTAAAAAATAATTTCATTGGGAAATAGAATAAAATTTTATATAAATCCAACTACATTCTTATCTTATGTGTACTTAGTGTGTAAACTTGGATTGTATGTATTTCTAATTAGTGTGATAGGACATGGCTCTTTGGCTACTTTTTTGATTGTAAAATTACTATATATAGTTGTGTTTGCTATAGTTGTCTATAGACCTATTTTAAAGTTGTATTTATGAAAGAATAAATACTATTTAATTGTAATATAAATAGTGTGATATATACTATTTAAAATATTATATTATTAAAGTATTTCTAATTAAGATGATATCTATTATAAATATAGTATTTATATCTTTATTAGAATTTTTCAAATAGTATAATACATACTAATTATGAACAAAAGTACAACTTAATGACACATATTATCATAATAAAATAAGCAGGAAAAATCTAATTAGATATCCCTTTTATTACTTTGACATTTAATACTATGTATCTTGTGCATATTGCAAAAAATAACTAGGTTTGATTTTATATGAAAATTTTTAATTTTTTTTATTTTACATTGATAAATGATAAAGATATAAAACATATATTTTTTTTATGTTTTTATTAATTAAGATATTATTTTGATATTATTATAGTATAAAATTATACTATTAGTTAAATCCAAATTATTATTAAGAATAATAAATTTGACATCTTGTATAAGATTTTAGATTCTTTTGAATATAAATATGTATTAATTATTTTAGAAAAAAAAGGTTAATTTTTGGTATATATTTTACTCTTTAGAAATATTTTAATAACTTTTTTCTTTCTCTAAGATTAAAGAATAATGGCTAGATGGTAGTAGATCCTAATTTTATCTAGGTTCAGGAATCCAAATCACTTTTTGTTTAAAGTGACATACATATAAAGAGCTATAAGCTCAATGTGTCTTTGTTGCTTTGGATCAAGACTTAGAAAAATAAAATGCTTTAGATATTTTCTCACAATTTTTTTAAGATACTAATATTTCTAATTTATACATATATTATATTGATGAGGTCCCTCATTTATCTATAAATTAAGATGTTGGTAGTACATGAGTTATATCTTTAACAAATTAGTGATTAAAGCTCATGCTTGTATATAATGGTGCTTCATTGGTGAAAAAAAAAACCACAAAGTTTGATAATTGGATATTGGAATTAGAGCCACATCTTATTGATGCCAAAGCATAAAGAGTACATCATTTTATTTGCTTGTATTGCAATTTTTTTGCATTCAATCTTAAAGACCTTGAAGATTATTGAAGTAAACCTATTCACATCCAATTGGAGATGATTATGCAATCTTTTGATAATCTTATAAGTTTAGTACCTCAAAGAAAGCTTGTATCTATGTTTATTATGAAGAATTATTGGCTGAAGGCTTAATTGAGATTTATAATGGCAAGTATGCTTGTACTATAGTAATGCCTTCAAAGAAAGATGTTTTTGGCAATTAGACAAAAAAATAGATATATAGAGACTATTGTCTAGTCAATTATAAGATCAATTCTAATTAGTATCCAATACCAATGCCAAAAGAATTATTTGTAATAGGATTCTTTTGAATCTTTAGTTCTTTGAATTTACGATTTGGATATTACTAGTTACTATTATTTGTTCAAGACCAAATGAATACAATATTTCGGAGAGTTTTTCTAGATGACAAAGATCAATTCTATCATTAAAAATTCTTCTTATTTAGTCTTAAGAATGCACTAAGTGAATTTCAAAGGGTGATAAATTAAATATTGTTTGACTTATTATATTCCAAATGCTAC